ACTTCAAATTGTTGTAACTTTTTTGTGTATACTTTTGTACTAAGGTAAGTTGGATCCAATCAATTTATTTTTGTCTCCAGAATGCGTGATTTAATTTATGACATACCTTTTTGAAACACCCGGTATAATTGTACCGTTATATATTAGTTAATCAATATTGTCCTACTGTGATAAAAATTTGTTTATGTATTGGATAATATTGGGACTTTTTCTTGAGGGTTTTTGCATCGGCATGTACGATCAGATAAAGCAGTGTACAAAATAGTAAGTGCCTACATAAACTCAAACAAAAACTCAAAATATGATAAAAAAACATTTATTCATCATCGCTATCATCAACATTTTTTGGTAACAACTAAATTTCTATAGAACTTATGAAGCTGCCTGGGGATCCATTGAAAAAGGATTAGTAAGTGATCCTTCTGTGTGATCCCTTTCAGTTTTTGATATCGTAGTGGTAACTGCTCTGGAAGATTGGTCGCAGTTGCTTTTCTTCTAGCGACGTGCAATTCTTTGGGTCTAATTTCTCCAAAGGCCTCTTAAGAAAAAATTATGGTCAGCGTGTCTTTTTTTACTTAAAATTGGACTACGTTTGAAATGAAGAAATTATTATTGTCGGTATTTTTCTTTTTACTGATGAATGGGGATTGAAACTGAGCGTAAAGTATTTTTTAAAGTAAAAGTAAAGTAAAGTAATTTTTGAAGTCACCTTTGTCCATTTTAATCACCTGAGCACCTACGGAACTGACCAATTACTGTCAATCCCAAGGCGTTACGATGTGCATTGTTGGCTGTTTTTTTACAGATGTTTCAATTATAGCGTGTACTTGGTCAGCTTCTAAATGAGTGTGTTCTCTCAGTCAATATTTATAGTTAACTACCTTTAAATTAGGAGAGATGTTCAAAAGCCAACAGTAGCTCATCATCATAACATTGCGGTCAATTATCTGATCAAATAACCAATTCTTCCACATCAGTTTGTGATAGAACTGCCATAACCCATTTAGTTAATGCCAGGGCAATTTCATGGCCACCCCTTCCAGCTTCGGATTCATCCCAGATAAGGCAATACGATTTATTTTCTGTAGTGTCGTGAAATTTATAGTCCATAATTTCAGCTTGTAGAAACTTTGGTTACTTGTCAAACAAGGCGTAGGCAAGCATTTTCGTAAATCACACATTATAGTTTTAGTTTTTGCAGCTGATTGCCCGCTTCCTTTTTATCGTTTACTTTCATTTTGTATAGACTTTCTGTTTCTTGAAGATGCTGTTCATAATTTGGCCGTAATGTTATTGTTTCTTGCTCGGAACAGTTTTTTAATTGTAGCATAAACCGATCGCAACTATCACATGGTTTATGCCTCCCCCTATGGTCTTATGCCATAAAGCCTCCCATATTGTCGTTTTTTAGAACGTTACGTACAACTGTTTCTGAAATATTAAGAGTATTTAAAATTTTTTACATACATCATTTTTTACACCTCTATCTAACTTTATTTCAAAATTATAAGAAATTCCCTGACTTCCCTTGGCCTTTTAGAATGGTTGGTAGGTCTACGAAGTATTACACTCTTCGGAGTGATATGCGAGCGCACAAATTGACGCTTTAACTCCCAATTTTTTGTGTTACACCAATAATTCTCAAAAATTTGCTGTCTTACAGCTTCTGCTATTTTTTCTGAACATTTTAGTCGACAAGGTTGGCAAAGGGGGCTTCATTGATTTAGCTTTTATAATTTTACCTGATTTATTAATGTGTTCCTTTTCTCCTAATGTTGCCTCTACTTTTTTTGTTACTTTCCAAGTTTCTGGTTTCTTATAACGTCTTTTCTTTTGGATTTGGACATCAGTTGCCGTTTGTTATCATCAGTTCTGTGTTTTTTAAATTACGGTAAACTCTATAATAAATTAATATTTAATTTTTGTTAAATGTACATACATATACATTGTACCATATTGTTGTAAGTCATGACTTTTAAAATGTACCTTATCTTCTTCATTTGTATCATAAACTTACCGCTAACAACCCCAGTGGTTGATGCGGATAAATAAAATGAAAAAAAAAACTATAACGTTACATTACATACCCAAACATAACAAAAACTAAAGCCGGGCACTACTGTTCGTTACTTATTATCTAGTGATTTAAGTTTGACGAAAGACTTCATTGAACTGTTTTTTAAGTTCATGCATAGACAAATTGATACCAAGTATTTCTATAAAAATAATACTATATAAGACTATTTATATCTATAGTATCGCTATAGTAAGTAGTTGACTTATTTTATTTGCAAAACATAAGTAACCGATTAGTCGTCTGAATACACCTTACATATAATATACAGTGTGTCCGTAATCAATTAGCTTATAATTGTCCACTGCTGAACGTAGGCCTCCCGTAAAATTTTTCACCTATTTCTATCTTGAACTTCTTGCATCCAGTTTGTGATGATGCGCTTGATATCATCCGTCCGACTAGTCGGTGGTCGTCCTCTGCTTCGATATGCATCTTGCCTTGGTCGCCATTCCAGAATCTTTCTGGTCCATCTGTCATCCGTTAATCTGGCAACATGTCCAGCCCAAACCCATTTAGCCATGGTTATTTTTTCAACTGCATATATAACTCCTGTTTTTCTTCTTATTTCTAGGTTTGGTACTTTATCTCTGATGGTAATACCTAATATTGATCTTTCCATAGCGCGTTGTGTAACTCTTATTTTGTCTATTGTTCTTTTTGTTAGAGTCAGTGTTTCTGCACCATATGTAAGAACCGGTAAAACACACTGGTTAAAAACCTTTCTATTTAAACAAACTGGGATAGTAGACTTGAAAATGTTATTCAATCTACCAAAGGCAGCCCATGTGAGACCTATCCTTCTTTGTATTTCAGTTGTCTGATTATCTCGGCCTAAGCGAATCTCATGTTCTAGATATTTGTAAGTTATTACTTGGTCAATGCTATGCCTCTCAATCAGAATTTTACCGCTGAATACAAGGTTGGTCATAAATTTTGTCTTTGAGGTATTAATTTAAGACCAATTTTTTTGACACTTTATAGAGCGTGTGCAGCATTTTTGTAGCTTTATCAACTCTATCAGATATTAAAACCATGTCGTCGTTTTAATCGACATTTTTAATCGACAATGTGTCCGTAAAGTATGGAATAAATTCGATATTTCCTAAATGAAAAGCCTTTTTAAAAAAATTTTAAAAAGGTATGTAGATTTTTAAGTTTAATGTTTTACATTCTACAACAAAATTTAAAGTATAATACTCAAGATCTAATGGATATAATTTGAAAGATATGCACTTAGAAAATAAATTATTTATTATCAATTGCAAAAAGTATTCTACTACTAGTTTTTAGTGAAATATAATTATTTTTAGTAACGTTCAATAACAATTAAGTAGTACAATAATTGTATTAATTCGTGAATGTTCTGTATTATTGCTTAGAATTAATTTGAAGTAGAAATTAAATTAAATGTCAAGCAAATAATTGAAATACTGAATTGAATATGCACCCAAATCAGCTCATCCCTTTGTAAATTATGATACAACATTAGATGTTCTACTTGCTTTTGAAGAAGATGCACAGACTTCTGTTCGTAAAGTTAGTCGTGATCTCGATGTTTGCAAAACAACGATACACAAAGTAATAAAACTTGAAAAATGCCACCCCTTTAGATGCACACTTGCACAGAAGGATGATCCAGATAAAAGAATACAATTTTGCGAAACAATGATGGATAACTGCCACCGAAACCCTCTCCTAGCTCAAAATACCATTTTTTTCTGATGAGGCTATATTCACATTAAATGGCTAGGTCAACCGTCAGAATTGTAGAAACTGGTCAAAAGAAAACCCCAACTGGATGCGGAAACATCATACACAATACCAGTAAAAAGGTAAACATATGGGCTGGCATTGTAAGAAATAGAATCATAGAATCATTGGACCCTACTTTTTCGAAGGTAATTTAAACGGGCCAGCATACCTTCAGTTTTTAAGAGGGTATCTCGTACCTACTTTAGTTAATTTATTCCCTAGTAGAATTAATCCTGGAAGTTTTGATGAAAGTTTATGGTTGCAATAGGATGGTGCACCTTCGCATTATGTTGTAGATGTTAGAAGGTACCAATAATCCTTTGGATTATTTTATGTAGGGCCATTTGTAGAATGTTGTTTATAAAACGAAAGCTGAAAATATTGAAGACTTAAAAACACTAATTCGTGAAGAAATAAACAATATTTCTCAAGGAACCATAAACAAACTTCTATAAGAATTTGTACAACGTTTGGGTTACTGTCAAATACAACAAGGGCTACACTTCGAATTAAGATGTAACTCATGTATTAATTACTGGATTACTTTAAAGTTATTTATTATAATTTATTTATAATTTATTAATATAAGAATTCAATAAAAATTGATTAAAAAAAAATTAAACGAACACATCAGTAGAATGGCAAAGGATAGAATAATACGAATAGCACGAGATAAGCCACCAAATTGACGAAGAAGTATTGGCAGACCAAGAAAAGATGGTGCGACAATTTAGGAGCCTAATATTGAAGAAGAAACAAGCTTTAAAGCCTACATACTAGAAGCAAGAAGAAGAAGAATAAAAATTAATTTTCTAAGCGCATATCTTCCAAATTATATCCGTTAGACCCGCAGTATTATACTTTTTTGGAATCAGCTCATTTTTATCTATCTAAAAATGTCCTAAAATACAGGGTGTTATATTTTAAAAAAGAGCCGATGACGTCATCATCTTAATGTGTATCACCTTGTATAATGAAATTTTATTGTAAAATGTAGAACATTAAACTTAACGTGTTTTATATTTTTTTAAAAAGGCTCTTTATTTAGGAAATATCGAATTTATTCCATACTTTACGGACACACTGTAATATTAATTAGTCCGATTCTGGATGTACTTTTGGAGTTTGAAGAAGGCATCTAACATCTTAAGATAAGAAACAACGTCAACAGCCTTGTGATAAAATCCAAATCGGAGCTGCAGAAAGTTCAGTTGTTCACACTGTAAGAGAACTCACCGCTCGCTCAGTCACTGTTTACTGTTATCGACCGAACAGCGTACAACACCACCGGTACAGTAAAACAGTAAGTGGAAAGGCAAGACGTGAGGCCAGCAGGCGCGACTGGGACTGGATTTTCGTTCTCGATTGTCGATCCTGCTATCGCAGTGGCTCTCCTCTCCGTGTTGATTTCTAGCTCATTTCGTTCGGTTCGGAGTAGTTCCCGTTTATCGTAGTCTGTTATTTTTTTTTTCGAATTTGTAACTTAAAAACATTACTACCGAGTTAATATTTTTAATTGTTTAGTTTTTAATTATTTCGCGATATGGAGTGAAGTGTGTTTATTCCAGTTCTACAATTATTATTACATCTTTAAAACTTTAACACATAATTCAACTTTTTGTATGTCACGGCTGAAGTGAAAAGGTAAGGAAACTAATGTATGCCTTTTATGTATAAGTTTTATACACCTATTTGTTTACTATTACTGACAGCCAATTTCAACACTTATCCTATACATATACATAGTCAAATTTATTATAACAAGCGCGAAACCAACAGATCCATCCTACACTAACTTCTGACTAATATAATATAATGTTTCATCAATTTGTTAAACAAAGCGATAACGACTAAGATATAGCAATATTGTTATCGGCAATGAATCATTTAAAATTAAAAATATTTAGTTTTACTTATTAATAACTAATTACTAATATATTTATTTAGATCAATTATTATTCTGACCTCGAATGTCAGCACAAGTATAATAATTATGAATAAGACTACATTATATATATATATATATATATATATATATATATATATATATATATATATATATATATATATATATATATATATAATTCTTTGGAGGGTAACTTTCGGGAAAGCGTCAAAACAAGGATCAGCTAGAGATGGTATAAGCCAGCTTGGTGTAGAACTTTATTCTATATGTGAAATTTTCGGTGATATGTTGTCACCTTCATCAGCACCTAAATGGAAAACCTATTATAGTACAGTGGTGGAAATCAACATTTAAAAACCTACATTGAAAATGTTCAGTTGGTCCTAGTTGTAAAAAACTTTTTAGATTTTTTGTTGTGTTTGTATTTGAAAAACTACCCTGTTGTTTGTAATGTTTTTATTCAAAATTTTAAATGTATTTTTTAATATTTTTAACATGTTTGTGACAGTGTTTTTTACAACTAGGACCAACTGAACATTTTCAATGTAGGTTTTTAAATGTTGATTTCCACCACTATACTATAATAGTTTTCCATTTAGGTGCTGATGAAGGTGACAACATATCACCGAAAATTTCACATATAGAATAAAGTTCTACACCAAGCTGGCTTATACCATCTCTAGCTGATCCTTGTTTTGACGCTTTCCCGAAAGTTACCCTCCAAAGAATTGTATTCTTAGCGTCGTTACACACACTCTATATATTTATATATATATATATATATATATATATATATATATATATATTTTTATATATATACATATATATATATATATATATATACATATATATATATATATATATATATATATATATATATATATAAACTTTGGGTAAATATAGAATATTAAATACTACCCTTACCACACCAATAATTAAATATATCGTCTATATAGAGGTAAAACTCAGTAACTGCAAAATAAATACAACAGAGATATTCAACATTTTGTTCGTTTTTTGCTTTATAATTTTATTTATGATTACTCTAGATCAGGGGTTGGCAACCTTTTGAGTCGGAAGAGCCAAAAATTACAATTTACAAAATTTTAAAGTTTTGAAAGAGCCACAATTTTGTCAACAATAAATAGTACTCTCATAAAGTTCTGTGATAAAAAAAATTAATCTATTTATTCATATATAGGTAGGGTCGCTCGACCAGTGAATGAACAAATAAGAGAAATGTTCAGTTAGAGGACCTGCAAATTGATTTTACATTGGTTGCAGTAGCCAATAATTGTGTAAAGATAAAGTATAAACATTTCTGTTAGTAGGAACGTTAAAAATTATGATAGACTTACTTCTTTTAACGAGTTTGCCGATTTTATATAAAAGTGTCAATAATTCCAATAAATGAACGGACTCATCCAATTAATGAAAACTGCAATACCAGTAAATGAACACAGGTTTATTTCTTAAAAGGTTTTAATAATATAATTATTTATGATTACTTAAGTAAATTTATTTGATATGTACTGTCTTCAGAAGATATCGGCTCCAATTTTTTTTTTAAATAAACTTTTTTTATATCAAATTTGGTCTAAGCTTTTGGGTCATCTCCAAATATTTTTTTAAATTTTTTCCATAACACTGAACTCATATTCTTGGGTTTCTTGATCTATATTTTTTATCAAACCTGGATACTTCTTGTTATGTAAATCACGATTACAAAGTCTCCAACTTCAAAAACTATAAATATATATAAATATATTATTAGAATATATATGTTACTAGAATATACGTTTTATTTTTGATCTTACCCTCATTGCTTCCAACATCGTCAGGTTTAGTTGTTTCCACCTCGTTTTGTTTTATTTCAACTAAAATCAGAAAAGTTTTATTTTTGATTCAAATTTTTGTAATCATTAATATTACCTTTACTTTCTCGAACTTCATCAACTCTTTCAATTTTTTTTTCTTGTCTGATCCCCCTTTTTTATCGTTAGTTTGATCTTCTTGGTTTTTTTTTCCGAATAAATTTTTATTTTTAGCTATTGATTTCTTTAGATCCGTCTCCAGTTTTCTTTTTTTTTAATTATTTTCCTTTTCCTTTTTTTGTTTACTTGTTCAACATGGTATTCCACCCACTTATTAGTTGTAATTGCATAAGGCATTCGCACACGTTGGTTTTTTTTTTGTACACTCTCTTGCTGTGGCCAGTGAAGATGATTACTCCATACTTCACTTCTTCTTCTTCTTCCAATGGCGCTACAGCCCAAATTGAGCCTTGGCCTCCTGTAACTTCTGCCTCCAACAAAGGCGATCCCGCGCCACTCGTCTCCAAGCCCTGACGTTCAATAAGTTGTGCGCATCTGCTGTGACTTCGTTCTCCCATCTATTACGTGGTCTTCCTTTGGTCTTCTGCCCTGCATTTTTACCATCCAAGGCCTTTCTCGGCAATCTGTCGGCATCCATCCGTACCACATGACCAGCCCATCGAAGCCTTTGTACTCTAGCGAACTCTGCAATAGGTGTTTCTTTGAACAGTTGGTAGAGTTCATGGTTATATCTAGATCTCCACATCCCATTTTGAGTGATGGGTCCAAAGATCTTCCTTAGGATTTTTCTCTCGAAAACCTGTAATCTTCGTTTAGTGCTTTCTGTCAAAACCCATGTCTCGCATCCATAGCATACTATCGGTCTGATGATAGTTTTACTTACCATACTTCACTTATTAACTTATTAAAGTATTTTTGTTTCTTTGGCATAGGGCAGTATTGGGTATCTTGACCTTTGGTTCATTGCAATGGACAGCTTTGGCCGGAATAGCAATACACATAGATTGGAAGTCTTTTTCTTCCACAATATTATAAACATTGTCAATAATCGTTTCAACTATTTCTAAACAGTATGATTTAATTTCCGAATCGATATATTCATCAGGCATAATACGAGGTATAGGTGTAGTTGCAGCAGTTTCCTTTAATGCTGTATCATTAGTTAGGGGCTCGTACAGAACTCTTTCTGTACCTTTAGCGGAGTCTGATAAATCGGAGATATCTGGTGTCGGAGAAAGAGGTGAATTCGGTGGTCTGAAACAGGGGTCCATATCTATGTCATCAGAAGAAAAATCACTGTCTCTGCTTGATGAATACGGAACGATTTTTAATGTTCTTCATTGTCTTTTAACTCTTGCTATTACAACATCCTCTTTCGGCACCTGAAATACAAAAGTTAATTAGTCTCTTCATGATCATAGCCGAATGGAGTAATTTTATGGAGGCCTATGTCCAGCAATGGGACGCAACATCGGGCTGGATTATTGTGATGATTATGAATTACTTGGATAACAAATATATTAAGTAATATATGTTTCTTTACCTGTTTCTTTTCATCCTCAATGTGATCAAATAACTCATTGACATTAGTTTACGCTTCCGGAATTAATTTCAGTAAACAATAAATCATTTTTTATCCCTTGTTGATTCTGGAAATTAAATATAAAATTCAATAACTACATACACAACTTATTATAAAAAAAAACGTTTAAACACTAAGTAGGAAATAGATCTTTACATTTTTGTTAGTCTCATTGGTTCTTCATTTTCTTTATGTAATAAACTTTCGACCATCCTAGTAGTTCTGGAACCGGCAAACATTCGTGTAATACGATTTGGAAATCTCAAAAAATTTAATTGTTTTAAAGTAACTTTGAACTATTTCACTTGATATTACATACCTCAGAACTTGTAGAAGGTTTTGATGAATCAAAAAGTTTGTCTGCATAAGTTTTTCTCATTTTGGCTATTATTTAGGGATTTATTAAAATTAAAATAAAGGCAGTCACAAACTTACAAAGAGACAGCCTATATTTACACTTTAATATACTTTTAACAATTTTAATAACATCTGCACACAACCACAGAGACTAAAACCTTACTCAAACTCTAAAAAAGTATAGCCATAGAGGTAAAAATCATTTAGTTCAACCTGACTTTTACCCATCGAGCAGAAAGACAAAAGAGGGAATGTAAAAGTAGTGGGAACAAAAATATTGTTAGACAGGAAGTGCCATCCTGAGAGGCCAAATTAAACAAGGAAAGAGAGTCTTTCCTTGTTTAAGAAATCAAATTTAGTTGGGTTATGTTATTATTTGTCCCAACTGTCACATGAAATCTTATTTATATTGAAGTTTTTTAACAATTGTTTCACATTTTATACTGTTATCGTTAATATTTAATTAAAACTGTCTCGTGTAAGACACATTCTGAAAACTATTTTATAGCTATTGTTAATAAGTGTCGGAAAATTTAAATTTGGTGCATTCGTATTTCCGGATATGTCAGAGGCCACTTTTTTGGTTTTTTGGCCACGTTTTTTCATAACGATTAGATTCTCTCTTTTGTCTTTTTACTCGATGCTTTTACCTCTTAACGAAATGTAAAGAAAGTGCACTAAATATTTTTTACCATTCTATAACTGCTTTATTATTGGACGTAGCACCTAGTGAGTTTTACCGCACGAGAATTTAGATGTTAAATGTTACTGACTGATACAAACATGGCTTTGAGCTAACACTTAGTGAGTTTTACCTCTATACAGGGTGTTTCAAAAAAAGGTAACCCCGTCTCTAGGGTAGGTAAAAAACTGAAAAATAATTGGGGTTTGCTTAGTAAAAAATTTTTGTAACACCATCCGTTTTCAAGATACAGGGCGTTGAAGAAAAAAAAAATTTACGCAT